GAGCCTTGCATTGGTTGTATGCTAAAGTCCGATCAACAGATTAGCATTCAGCTGTTAGGAAGAACTGAATTGTAAAGTCAGACCCTCGTTGTGATGGCCAGCTTCGGAGCAGATGACTGTTGAACTCAAGACAAAATAGTGACCATGGTAATGTACCCTTAGTAAAATTGCTATTTAAACCATGTTGATTCAGTTGAATGATGATTTTGAGTACACATGTATATGCTTGCAAAGTCATTAGAGATTTTTCTTACTCTCAAAACATGGGCACATCACACACAAGGAGGCGTTCTCCAGTGATGCCTGGGAAGACTGTGCTGATTGGAATCACTAAAGAAGTAACTTCCTGTCACCCATGGCTTCAGAGCATCCTCAGACTGGATTGGACCAACAGAGCATGATTTACAGGAATTTTGCCAGGGCCTTGAGAAAATAATCTGTAGGGATTATTTTGTAAAAATTTGAAAGTCGAGGTGAAATGCTTGGTTTTCTTATTGACTATAAGGGATGAGCACCAACTAAAGTCAGCTGACTTTAATGGTCCATAGCCGGAGACACAAGTTTTCCTAGGCCTGCTTATAAAAATCACCGTCTCATGATTCATACATTCTACATGAGGTTTTATGAACTGATAATTTTATGTTATTTAATCTTTCCTCAAGTGATAAACACCATTGTCTTTTAGTTATTTCAAAACTGGGTAAATTTAGCAGAAAAAGATGATCTCACTTAAGATTGTAGATAATATCCTAAAAATACAAGCTAATTCAATCTATCTAGATGTGTAATGTAAGTAAGTAGGCATTGCTCTATAAGTGAAATATTACTTCGGTAGTAAGAACTTGGTTGTAATAATGCATGAAGTGAGCATATTAGAGAAAAAAACATAATTATATCGTTAGATAATGGAGGACCTTGATATAGTATAATAGCCATTTCTGAGAACATTTCAAATGAATATAAATGATATAAATGGATGTAGCATCTGGCAATTACAGAAAGTGTCCCTGACATAGACAGGAGCAAATCTAGTAGGGATTTTATCAGTGCTGTGGAGTGTCTGAGAAATTTAGGACTGCTTCTGCAAACCCATACGATTCCAGTACAAGTGTTGTTTTGGGAAAATATATGAGGTTAGATAATAATCAGTTGGAAGATGGAAGTCTATATAAGATCTATTTGATAATAGGAACTTTGATCAATACAATATCACTAGATAAAAATCACCAATGGTATTGCACATAAGATAATGGGAAACTGGGTCCCATGTCAGAAACCATAGCCTCACAAAATGCCGTGGGATGAAAAAGGAGCACCTTGGACCATTTGGAAGGGGTATAAACTATAGCTAATAGAGAGGTGTTTAAATGGCAAATTCACTGTGAACACATGTCACTTCTGAGGGGTGTTTGTCCCCATGTGTAATTGCACGTGTGCGTATCTGTGGGTTAGTTCACGGCAGATGATTTTCCTGTTGTGAACAACACTGAAAGTGGGTAAGAGGTTACTTGAGTAAGGGGCAAGAGAACTGACTCGTGAGAAGAATTCGCAAGATTGTTCAACAAAGAGATTTTAAAAAACCTGAATCGTGGGTTCAGTGCCAGGAGAAACACGAATGCTACAGGCAATGAATAAATCTGTGGATGTTTTTATATGAATGGTACTTTCAAATTAAGAAAATGCAGATTATTTAGTAAAATTTCTGGAATAATTGGTTGTCTACTGGAGAGAAAATAGAATTAATTTCTAATTTACAGCTTAAAAATTTTAAGTACATTATATATATAGTAATTAAAAATAGTTATAGAAATTTTAAAAGAAAACTTAGGGGCTTGACAGGTAGCTCAGCAGCTCAGAGCCTGTTCTAGAAGAGCTGAGTTCAGTTCCCAGCACTGATGTCCGGTGGCTCACATTCACCCAGTCCTGCTGCAGAGGATCTGACACCTCTTGCTTGCAAGGTGTTGCATTCACATGCATGCACCTACCCACAGACAGACACACACACATACACTGGAGATATAGTAAATGACTGGAGAGAAAGTAAACAAAAAGAAAATGTAATATGATGTGCTTTTTAAATGTTAGCATGGAGAATATCTCCATAACCCCAAATGCCATCAAGGACATAATTCATAATTGATAGATTCGGACACTCAAATAAACATTATGTCTTTTCAGTTATTGAAAACATGCCATTAAGGAAGTCAGTAGATAATGACAAACTTAAAGAAAACATTTGCATGGAGCTGAGGAGGTAGCTCAGTGGATACAATGTTTACTATACACGCACAGTGTCTAGAATTTGGATCTGCAACACTCATGTAAATGCTGTAAATGCCAGTGGACATGACAACCTGCCTGTAATCCCGTTGCAATCCCAGCACATAATCCCAGCACCTAGCAGAGACGAGGGATCTCTGTTGGAGCTCACTGAGGTTTCCTAGTGGCTTTACCCAGCAGGACTGCATAAGAGACTGATTCGGCCATGGGTCTAGTACTAGGTGTTTGGAAGGGTCTGCACTTGGCTATATTTAGCGAGGGGGAGGTCTTTTGCCCCTCCCCTTGGCATTGTTATAAAAAGGCCTTTTGAATAAAATTTTGGGCTGGTGGGTTTTGACCCAGGCCCTCCTGAGCCTATCCTGTGTTTTTGTCTTTCCTCTTTCTGTTTAAATATTTCTCTCTTCTCCCTCCTCAGGAGTACCCTGGTTGTAAAAGTGGGGGCTGGTCCACCACAGATCTCCAGAGCAAGCTGGCTTGCTAGACTAGCTGAGTTCTGGATCTAAGTGAGAGACCCTGCATCAGCATACAAGGCCACGGACAATAGAGGAGGACACAGCATCAATCTCAGTCTTCTGTAGGCACATACATACATGTTTGTGGGGTACACACATGTGTCCCATATATATGAATATGCAAACACCACACACACACATACACACACACACACACACATACACACACACACCTAATAAAAGGTAAACATTTACAACTGATAGTATGGTTGAGTGGTCTGACATATATAAATATATCTTACACAGTAATTAAAACTGTATACCCTGAAGGAAAACCAAAGGAACACAGTTTGCACAAAAAGACACTTGCTTAATAACCAATTTAAACAATTCCCAGACTCCATGAAAATAACAAGAAACTTGGTTTCCACTAGAGAGAAAAAAACCAAAGATTGCCGGGCGGTGGTGGCGCACGCCTTTAATCCCAGCACTCGGGAGGCAGAGCCAGGCGGATCTCTGTGAGTTCGAGGCCAGCCTGGGCTACCAAGTGAGTCCCAGGAAAGGCGCAAAGCTACACAGAGAAACCCTGTCTCGAAAAACCGAAAAAAAAAAAAACAAAAAAACAAAAAAACAAAACAAAACAAAACAAAAAAACAAAACAAAACAAAGATTTATAATATGTGACCGTGTAAATTGAGACTAATGTTGGTAGACTACCATGTGAACAGTGTGCATATCCTTTTACTCCACAGTAGCATTTCTAGAGATGTTCTGGGTAAACGAAACTGAAAAGCATATAAAAATTTCTGCACAGTTCTTAGCAATTGGACACAGTACAAAACCCAAGACCACGGGACTTGCAGGGTCAGTTATGATGCATGTTCTCTCTCTGTGCACACATGGGTGTGTGTATGCTCTTATCAGGGTAAGCATGTGTGGAACATGTGTGAAGGTCAGACACAGCCTCATGTTTTGGTCCTCGCCTTCTGCCTTGTTTGGGACAGGGTCTCTTGTTCATCATCCCATGACCCTCCAGGGATTCGCCTGACTCTGTTTCCCATCTCTCCGTAGGAGTGTTAGAATTATAGACACACGATGCCAGCTCCAGCGTTGTGTAGGTTCTGGGGAATCCGAGCTTAAGTCCTCACACTTGGGCAGTTAGTGCTTTTCTCACTGAGCCAACTCCCCAGTCCAACTGTGACCCTTTAGTACAAGAAAACACAAAACAAAACAAAACACCAAGTAGTTCTGTGTTCACAAATGTGGAGAAAAGTAGATGGGGCAAGTAATGGTCCACTATGAAAGGTTCTGATGACTGATGTCTAGACTTGAGTTGACATGGATAGACAGCCATGAAAGGTTTGTGTGAACTGGTAAGGAGAAATGAGTGAAACTGACCCTGAGTGTGTACATTATTATGTAATGAATATGCCCCAAATGTACTTGTTAAAAATTCACATCCTTGGCTGATTAGCATTGTACATTTATAAGTATTTACTTAGCACCTAGTAATCCATCATCAAACTGGTGTTTGCCCAAGATTCAGGTGACAAAATAGTTTACAGAAGGCATTGTACACCACACAGCATTCATAAATTTCAGGAGAATAATGTGTCATGATTATGACTTTTAAGGGTCACGTAAAGTACACATAGAAGAGTCTTTTGTGATCCTATCAGACAAAGAATGTCATATGTTCTAGTATATTGTGGAGCCACGGTTACTCTGTTATCTGGTTTGTATTTGGTACAGTGGCAACTTCATGTGCTAGCATGCAAGGGATGAAACAAGTCAGGAGTTTTGAACTCCGTCAAACACATGGATTAGCACTTATTTTAAAGTCAGCGCAACCTTCCATGTCGTCTGGGGGTTACAGTCCGTTTCTGTGTCTAACACTTGATATCACTCCCTTCTCTCCATTTGCCTGGCTCGCGGATTGGTTCCCAATGCTGGTTTAATCACCAAGTTGCAGAAGGAGTTACAAATCTTGATTTAAAGTGTAGTTTTTCTTTTCCTCTCTGGTTTAATATTTTGAAGTTGTTAAACCCATTTATCATTTCAAATCCTGCTTTAAAATTGAGATATTTTTCACAACTGTGCATGCCGTGTGCACTCAGTGTAGCTCTCGCTGTGGCTGTTTTTAATCTACTTAATTATTACTGAGTTGCTTATTTTTAATGTATACTCCATGTTTTTTTTTCCCCTGGGGGGAGGTTGTTTACCCTTTTTTATCATTTTATCCCCATTTCTATCCATTCCTCATCTTAGGATTCCCCACCATCTGAGGCCCGGCCATAGTACTCCGTGATTTCCCAGCAGCTTTGGATCCCCAGCCTGCACCCTGCCAGCCATAATGGGGACGGCTCAGGTACCGTGAGATCTCGCTATTCCTTCTTTCCTTTCTGTGTGTGTTCATTCTCAAGCAATTCCTCACTGCCTGCTGTGATAGGGCCCCTGTCACAGGAAGGGGATAAAGGGGGATGGGCCAAAGTCCAGCTGCTAAAGGACCCAGGGAAACAGGTGAGGAGCTGGTGAGCCAAGGATGTCTGTAATGATAGCATAGCATACCCCAAACCCTCCAGGTGCTTCAGGGCAATGTTTTCCTAATCAAATAGCGGTGCATTAATAATGTTATCAGAAACTCTGTGTCTGTGTGTGTGTGTGTGTGTGTGTGTGTGTGTGTGTGTGTGTGTGTGTCTGTGTCTGTGTGATAGTTAAGTAAGGGCCAAGGGAATATTGACATTGGTGAAGCCCCTCCATAGTATCTGCTACTGCTGTGTTGCCTGCTGATTGGTCTGTTCAGGGGAGCTGAATATGTAGAGATGACAGGGATCTAAACACAGGTTCCTACTGGCTTTAAAAAGGCTGTTCTGTGGGATCTGGTGGCTGTAGCTGTGCTGGTGTGTGTGTGTGTGTGTGTGTGTGTGTGTGTGTGTGTGTGTGTGTGTAAGGTAAGTGGAGTTCTGCATTCATAGAGGTGGGTTGTGATATGGCAGGAAAACAGTTCTTAAATGATAGCATCCTTCCCGCTGCTGCTGCTGACTTTAGTGCCTCATCTTGGGGCAACCCAAGGAACCTCTAGGAACAGGACACCCAGTTCTCAGACCTCTGGAACATAGTTTAGGGCCGAGTTGTAACTTCATGGCTCCTCAGTGCCAGGGAGTAAATCAGATAGCCGGTGAATCTCCATGGGAGAGGCATTTCCTTTCATTTGTCAAAGGGCAGTGATGCTTATGCAGAATGTAATTTTATTTCTTGCTCCAGAAGAGATTTAGAGTGATGAAAAATGTCCTGCGTTTGGATGGATCCTTGTTGCCACTACTATCCTGACTGATAATCTCCTTCCTTTTCTCTGGTGTCAGACATTCTTGACTCAGGATTCAAATACTTTTCTTAAGGATTTCTTAGTCTCAGAAACTGGTGTTGACTTCAGGCTATAGGTCAGTTTCCACAGCCAGAGCACTCGGCTGGGTCTGCTGGGATCTTGGAAGGTTTGCAGAGAGGCTTGGAAGGGTTGTGAGGCAGGCTCTGTCTGTCTCTAAGTCTCTGTGTGTCTCTCTCTCTCCCTCCCTCCCTCCCTCCCTCCCTCCCTCCCTCCCTCCCTCCCTCCCTCCCTCCCTCCCTCCTTCCCTCCCTCCCTCCCTCATGCTGCCAAGACCAACCATAGCTCTTCAATAAGGCTTCTCAATACTAAACAAAATTCACCAGTTGGTTTAGCCAGAAAAGAAACTCATTAAACAGAAACTGACATTCTGTGCATCTCTCACAACACCAGATAAAGTTGCTTAGCACGGAGCTTAGTCCTGGGTTCATTTACCTGTGGGAAAGGCATGTGGGAGAAAGAGCATACAGTCCATGCTGCCTTCAGCTGCCAGAAAGGCTGGAAAAACCTTTGTGTTGTTCACCTTTATTTTTTATTATACCCTGCGAGGGGTTTACAGGCAGTGTGGGGGAAGCCCTCAGTGGTATAGAGATGAATGAAATCAGTGAAAAAGCAGAAAAAGGGGCTTAGGGAGGTGGGCATAGAAGAGCAGGGCAGCCTCTAGGCCTGTCCTTGAGATCACTGGAGGCTGTGCATCTCCCGACCCCCTGCTTTCTTCCTCAGACTTTCAAGTGACTTCCTTTGTCTTCATGTGGGCTTCCCAAGGGGTACTAATCCTAGTCTAAATCCTTGTCTGGTCTGCAGTGTTGGCTCTGCAACCCCAGGACCTGGTGCAGATGAAAGCATTGTCAGTGATCCCGTTGGGAAGCAGGGCGCACATCGGCTTAGTTTTCATGAATGAATGTAGGTGTGACGTGGCATACAGATGCCGCGGAGAGCTGTGGTTGCTGAGGTCTCTGCTGCGGTGGTGCTGCTGGTCTGGTTTTTTCTTTTGGGAGGTGGTGAGCTTTGATGGTAAAATCATTTTGTTGTTGTTTAGGTTTAGGTTTTGAGACCCTGGTGTCCTGTGGGTCCTGCAGCTAGACCTCAGCTCCAGGCCAGCTGGGTTCACTGGAGTGTCCAGAATCTCCCAGTGCGTTTCCTTCTTAGAAATTCAGATGTTGAAGCAGCAGAGCATCAGGGCGAGGCAGTGAGGGCAGGAATTTGAAGACTCTGTCTACCTCTTGGTTCCTAGGTCCCTTCTTCCTGCTGTAGGAGAAAACAACTCCATTCTCTAGGCTTCTAGGTCAGTTCTTAGCACTCCATAGAAATCTGACTTGGAAGGGAGCTGCAAGTCTCTCCTCTGAGGGCCATTGAATGGTCTGGCAGGACCCTCTACTGCGCAGCACATCGGGATGGCCCACCCAGGATTCTCAGCTTCTTGTTGGCCTGCTTCCTGGCCTTATTTAAGATCGAGATGTCCTGTTAGAGCCTGAGAGTGATCATAAAGATGTAGGGTGAGGATCTGGTATACACATGTGGATTAGGTTTTGGTGTTATGGGGCTTTTCTGACAGCAAGCTATCACCTTGGCATCCCTGTCTCCTCAAGATTCTGGCCTCTCGCTGGGTAGTAAGACATCGCTAGGCCTCTGATCCACTGAGAAACATCATCGTCAGTGAGAAGTTGCCTATAATTTTCCCTGGTTCTGCCCTTAGTGCCTGTGGCATCTATGATGTCACCTTACCCCTCCAATTCTGTGTGCTGGTGACATGAGTCTTCTTTCCCTGTCTTTCTTCTTTTTTTTTTTTTTTTTGGTTTTTCAAGACAGGGTTTCTCTGTGTAGCTTTGCGCCTTTCCTGGAACTCACCCTGTAGACCAGGCTGGCCTCGAACTCACAGGGATCCACCTGCCTCTGCCTCCCGAGTGCTGGGATTAAAGGCGTGCGCCACCACCGCCCGGCTCTCCCTGTCTTTCATTCTGCAGGTTGCTGACTGTTCATCTTCCAAGGAACCAGCTGTTGTTCCACTGATTTTCATTGTTGAGTTTATATTCTCCGCTCAGCTGATGTTGATGCTGCTCTTTATTTATTCCTTTCTTCTACTTACCTTTGGTTTTAATTCATTCTTTGTTTTTTAAAAAATTTGAAGATTAAAAATTCAGCCATTGATTTGGATCTTGATTTCTTTTCCAAAGAGGCCCCAGGTTCTGTAGACTTATCTTTGGTTTTCTACTTTGTTGGGTGCTAGATATTTTTGTATTTCCATAAATACTTCGGAGAGGTGGCAAAGCTGCTTGGAAACAGTATCATCTCTTCGCATTTTGTGGGGTAGGATCTGCGGGAGCCCTTCTCGTTCCCTGTGATGTTGCTGGTCCTCACCCCCTCAGCCTCCACCCAGGCTCTGGGATGTGGGTTTCACTTAGCTACCGTGACTGTATCTGTTTTCTGGTTTCAGAGTGACCCTACTGCTTACTGGGTGGTACGTTCTTATTTTCCAGCCATGTTTGGGACCTACGCTTGTTTTAAAGCCTTACTCATTTGCATGGATTTAAGGAGGGAGAGGAAGCCAAGATGGGTGTCCCATTGCCCTGTGTCCAGCCTACCTTTCTCATTAAATGTTTCCTTAGAAAGACCCAGTCTTTCTCTTCTTTCTCATTGGAGGGGATATGTTTTAGGGCTGGTGACAGGATTGTTCCAAATCTTCCATAGGGAAGCCTTCATTTTTTTCTTATTGTAGTGATGGTTAAATAGAAGCAGTTTCTTCCTCCAGGAAACACCGTTATGTGTTTAGAGACGTTTGTGGTTGACACTCTGAAGAGAGTTCACTACTAGTGTCCTGTAGTTTCAAGTCAGGGATGCCAAGGACAGCCTGTGGTACACAGGATAACCCCAAAACAGAGAGTTACCAGGATCAAAATGTCAAAGACACATTGTCTTATACTTATAACCTAACCTCTTGATTCTCAGGTGTTCCCCGGGTCTAAATAAGGACAATGAGGAAATAACGTAATCCTGGCAGAGAATGGTTTATCTTCAGTGTCTGGGTATTCTCTTCCCCTGGAAATGACAGTGTAGCAAGTTTGCATGCAGGGTCACTTAAATTGATTATAATTAAAATGCACATTTGACATGGGGGGGGGTCTTTGAATCATCCACTGAGGGTGGTTAATGTATTTGTGAGCTCATACTGCAGACGCCCACCAGTGATGCCATAGTCACATCCTCATGGGGGCTGGGATAGTGAGTAAGCTCCGCTGTGCTTACACCAGCGGGATTTTGTCTCATTTAGAGTAAGACATTACAGAAAGGATTCTCAGCATTGACTGCAGGTCCAATCACAAATAACCCTGAAGAGTGAGATGCAACTTATTTGGTAAATGTAATGTCTAGTCTTCAAGGTAAATACGAACAGAGGTGGGCTGATCAGAGACTGCCTAGGAAGAGAAACTGAGTAGGACTCATTTATTATCCCCAATGTGCAAATGCACTAGATTCAAGGCCAAGAAAGCCACGTCCAGAACATATACCTTTGTTTGTTTCCATTGGGTGAAAAATCATTGTTTTTTTTCTTAATTAGGGTTTAGAGAAAATCCTCTGATTCTTAAAATTTGTTTAACTTTGGCAAGCTTGGTGGTTTTCTTTATTGATCCCACATCCAGGTTGGCAGCACTGATTAGGCAGGAAAAACAGGCAGTACCTTGCCCATGCATCTCCTAATGGAAACCTTGCAGGCTCAGCTATAGCTAGTACACTGGCGGGGGCTTCTGGCAGCTCAGTGGGGTGTGGGGGATGTAGACATGTAGATCAGCATGTGGAAACCCACATTCTAAGGCAGGTCCCTTGGCATTTCCTGTTTGATGATGGCGGAGTTCACACCATTGTGTCTCTTACATCCTTGTGTTCATGAGCCCTGAACTTAGCTCCTCCTCTTTGCTGCCCTGAGTTTTATATTGTCTTCTTGCAAGGATCTCTGGGCTGTGGGACAATAATACCACTGTGTTCACAAT